AGCTCTGGGTTTTCATCTAGACTCATGTGGGACATTGCTGTGGGATTTAGGCCCTTGACTAAATAATCTATGTCTTTGGTGTTGCGGATAGATTTCCTGCATTTTCTTGTGTTAACTCTTGGTGTCCATTATAAAAATAATATTACAAACTCCATGTCCTGATTCTAATTGTTCTCTGCACAACCCCTGACTACAACACAACCCCATTGAAACTTGTTAAACTCAAAGACTAACAGCATGAAACATGACACAAATGACCTGATACAGGACCCACAAAGTGAGCCCGATAAATCTGTAAACACCAAACAGGAAAATCAAGAAGCCCTAAAAATACAAGTCTTGATTTAGAAAAAAAAAATTATAGCAAGAACTTTTGAGAGAACTTTTAGAATGTGATGGATGGATGATAAAGATATCATGGGTCAGTTAGAGTTAAAATATGTACCTGAAGTCTGCCCCCCATAGAATACCACATATTTTCTTCTTTCAAGTCCATGAAACATTTTTAATAGTAATCATGTAGTTGGTCAAAAAGAAGATGTAATTCTCTGATAAAAAGATTTTTGCAGACCACATTCATTACTTATAACCCATAACACTAAAACTCAACAAGCAAATATAATTATGTTCTCCACAGTATTATGTACTTGGAAATTCAAGATCCCATCTACTTAATAATCCTTGGATGGAAATTGATTTACAGCCAGGTGCGGTGGTGTACACCCATCATCCAGCTCCACACAGGAGGATCACGAGTTCAAGGCCAGCCTGAGCAACAGGATCTCAAAAATCCAAAACAAACAAAAACTGATTCACAGCAGAATTGCTAGAGAGCAAAGGAGAAGGAGGACATCGTACAAAGGGCTGCCAGCTAGACCTGTACTCAAAGCAAAGGGGGAAGTAATATGTACTTGTTAAATTAAAGGACTAAAATTCAATCAACCAATATAGATATTAAAAGAACAGCAATAAAATAAACCAAAAGTAAGAAGGAATAGAGACTGAGATTAATGACTAATGAACAGGAAAAGAAAAAAGGGCAAAAATAAAAATAAATATGAACTGAAAATTCTGGTATATCCAGTTAGAAACTCATTCTAATGTTCAATGATTCTATGAACTTGGAAAACTTCATAGCATAATAACATAAACCCTTCGTAAATACTCAGTAAACAGTTCGATTGGGATCCTTTCAGGTTGCTTATCCCAAATCAATAAAAATGGTAAATGTCCACAAGCCCCAGCAGTTCGAAAAAGGTTGAGTAAGTGATTTGGCACTAAGAACATTCCACAGCTGGCCACCAGGAGTGGCAGTAACCAGAATAGTCACAAATGGGCTGCAACACCAGGTCCACAGTGTGAATCTGCAAAAGGATTCTGACCTCAAAGCTTCATAGGTGCATAAATCTCCAGAGGGGAGAGAAGGGAGGGAGCCCAGCTGCCTGCAGTTCATAGGCCGGCCCCCAGGACAAAAGGGATCAGGTGCTGAGAAAACACAAGCACTCCCTGAGGACATTCTCCTGTCAAAGCCTCAAAACCTTGGGCTCCCGCTGTGAGCCACCCACCCACCAAAATAGTTACTGCATGTCCTTCTGGTCACTGACCTCGGCAGCAATGTCACCACTGTCCACCCCATTCTACTGAAGTGGGTTGACCCTGGCTCCTGCAGTTGGTCCTCTTGGGTGGCTGACTGGGTCATCTTTCTTTACATCACGGTGCCCTTGACTCCAAATATAAATACAGCCTCAACAAAGCCTCTGTCCAACCCAGATTTCTACTGACCCCCAGATCCACGGGTCTACTTGGTGTCTCAAAGGAATCACATTGCGAACTGAATTTGTGACCTTTTCCACTCCAAACTGGGCCTCATTCAGCCTCCTGTCCTAGGTCTCAGGACACCTATAGGTAGAGCCTAGGGTGGAGGGTGTGGCCTCTCCTTGTGGGCACCCAGCCCACAGCTAGGCCAACAGTGGACACTAATGAAGCGTCCAACAGAAACATCCCTTTGTCACCTACTTCCTAAAAATATCTGTGACCTTTCTGGCAGACACACGAAGCTCACATCTACTACCAACCTCCCCCGACACTGGTCACCCGGTTCCCCAGACTACGCTGCAGGCTTAGTATGCCACAGTCTCACCCCAACAATACATTCTTCCTCACCAAGTCTTACCCAGAGGCCCTCACCTCTCCTCAATGTCTCCCAAGTCAGTCTCCCTGCTGTCTGGGTACTGGGGAGGCAGGTGACCTGTGACTTCCCTCTCAATCATCTGCCAGCTTCTCTTCTCTTGAGGAATGGGGCCTTCACAAGCACAGATCCCTGGGATAAGAGATCAGGCAGAGCCAGGCTTCCATACCAGCTGAAACAACCCTAACACAGCGGTTCCTCAGTTAACACACCCACAATATACTATTTTCCATTTTTTCTCTTTTGCAGCACTGGGAGCTGGGGCCCAGAGCCTCACACTTGCTAGGCAAGCACTCACCCACTGAGCTCCACTCCCAGCCCTGCTACACCCACAATACCATCACTATCACCTCCTCCCCACCACACACAATATCATAGCTAGCACCTTCTCCTCTCCTCGGATCTCAAACCCCTCCTACAAACATCCTGAAGCAGCAGTTTGTCATCAGAACACTGGGGTCAGGTGACTAAAAGGCAAATATGAGAACTCTGTACCCGATGATTCCTCAGTGTTCCCACCCATCACTGCCGGCCGTCAGCCCAGGAAGGGCCTGCTGCAGCCAGGTGTGTCATTAGGATCCTCGAATGACTACCGTGTGACCTTCATTTCAGGGGTCCCCGGGGTGAGGGTCAGCAGGGCCTAATGTAGAATGGTTTCGATGGTTACTGGAGAGTTCCATTCTAAACAGAGCTTCACTACAACTCCATCTACAAATACCAACTCCCACCAAGGAAACTCGGTCTCTTCATTACCCTAGGAGCTTTCCTATCTCAGAGTCACTCAAATCCCCAATGTTCTGGAAATGATGAGATCCAAGGACAGTGGAAAGAAAAAGCCAGAGAAACTGGAGCCTGCTGCCTCAAGATGGTCCACAGCCAGCCCCTCCCAAAGGGCTCCTGTGGGATGCACTGCCAGGAATCTTTGCAGCCTTAAGAGGAAGAAGGCAGCTTAGGAAGAGAGGAAAGCAAGGTCTTGTGCCCCAATTCCAGCCGACTTGAGGTTTTTTTCTTGGATTCTACACTGAGTTCCTGTTCCACTCTTCACATCACAGGACCACAGCAACACAAGGCCACCCTGGCCATACGGACAGGGAAATCAGGGTGGGTCCTTCCTGTTATTCTGCCTCAAGAAGAGGATCAAACCGTAGAACCTGACCTTTCAGCTCCTCTCTCAACTTGCAGTCTGGATGCACTTCCAGCTCACCCTCCCAGTTCTTGTCTGCCTACTCAATCAGTCCAGTAACTACTGAGAAACTACTACAATTCCTCTATCGGCCTCTTACCTAACATGTCCTGAGCACCTAAGGCAAGGCGCACCCTGGGTGCTGTGCAAGATCAAGTAAGTGGGAAGTAGCCCTGCACTGCAGAGATCAAGGACAGGGCAGGGATGAGACACAGGGCCACACAAGTACTACTCAAGGCTGCCAGGCGGGTCCTGAAAATGGTCAGTGGAGGGGGAGGGCTGTGTGAGCCAGCACAAGGTGTGGCCTGTCCCTCTGCTGGGCAGCAGGCACCAAGATGGCTGGCACATGATGGGCACAATGAGGAAAAGAAAGCAGGGCACTGCAGGACAGAGCTGCCAGAGCGATGTCAGAGCCAGCTCAGAAAGGCAGTTCCCCCTGGCTGCACCTTCCACTGTAAAGGAAGAGATGGTTATTACTGTTATATTATTCACTGGTGCATGCATCTGATTACTTGCACACCACTGTTTGCTCACTTCATGCCCAACCTGAGTGACATCCACCTGGGACACACAGATAAGACATACCGGATGCCACCCATCCTGCCTGGCAGTACTTGAGCACTGGAAGGTGATTTCGATACGAATTCATAGAATCCACACAAAAAGCCTTGGAGGTGTGTGTTATAATGGTGCCAGGTTTACAGAGGCAGAAACAAAGCACAGAGAGGTGTGAGATCAGGGAGCCCAAGGCAGGGAGCAGCCAAGGCCAGCGTGGCCCTTCACCTGGACTCTGATGCCCGTGAACACTTTGCTGCAAGACAGAGCCCGAAGCGAAGGGTCACCACTATTCCCCCTGCGAATCCCCAATAACTAACTGTAACATGGATGGAACGAGGGACGCAATGTGAGCCAGGTATATGGGTCAGCAAAATCACCAGTCGCCCAAGAAAGCTGGTGGTGCCTACCATGTGGGCAGGGCAGACAAGAAAAAAGGATGGAGGAGAGGAGGCGACCTTTTAAGATACCTTGGGTCTGTCCCTAGACATCCAAACTCCACAGAGAGGTCACTGGTTAGGGGGCGGGGTCAGAAGTGTCCTGTGCGCAACATCCCTGGTTCAGGCTAGCACTGGCTAGCTTAGCTTTTCCTCTCCAGCCTCAGGATAAGGAACTTCACCTCTGTGCTTTTGCCCCACAGACCGGTTTCTCCTTTCCCCACCTCAGGAGCCCGCTCCGAGCCCATGGTGTCTGCCTAATCTTAGAATCCTGCAAAAACTGGAGTCCTGGCTGGAAAAGGGTTGGGTTGCATTCTCTCGATTCCTTGGGTCGCAGCCTTACAAATAAGCCCGCAGTGGTGGCCGCTCCCAGGAATCTGCGTCCTCCAGCCCGCAGCAAAGTTCCCTAAGCACCTTCGTCCCACCCTCCCCAGCATGGCCGGGCTCTTCCCGGGTACAGCAGGCGAGGACTGACCAGCCGGCCGGAGGGACTGAGGTCACCGTCCCGCGCGCTCTTCCCAGGCCCGGCCCGCACCCCCGGCCCACCCCGCCGCGCGCCGCGCCGGCGACCAGGAAGCGCAGGGCCGAGCCGAGAGGGGCGCGGAGCTCCAACGCCGCGGCGCGGGACCTCACTCACCTGGCCGGAGACGCTGAGACACGAGCAGAGACGCGGCGGCAACGACCTCTCGGCGGGCGCTGCGCTTCTCTGCTGGACCTTGGCCCAGCTCTCGCGCACTCAGGCCCGCGGGCGCCTCGGGGAGAGGGCGCGGAGGGGGAGGAGCCCCAGAGAGGAAAACTCCCGGGGCGCCGCGCCCCACACGCCCCGGGGCGGGGCCGAGATTAGGGGCGGTCCCAACTTCAGGGGCGGGGCCGAACTGCGGGGGCGTGGCGGGACCCCATCGAGGGGCGGAGTGGGGTGGGGCTACCAGTTGGGCGTGGTCTAAATCTGGTCCAGCCCCCAAGTGGAGGCCAGGGCTGACTTGAGGAAGGAAGCCACTGTCTTTCCCGAGATCAGGGCGGAGGATGAGCCCAGGTTGGATAATTCTAGGCTGCCCATCATTGTCCCAAGGCGGCTCGCAGCCTTTCGGCCCAGGGAGGGCCGCTCGACAGGGGCGTGGCCCAACCCCATGGCAGGGGCGGACCCTAGGTGGGGGTGTAGCCTGAGCTGGCCCAGCCCCAAGTAAGGCTTCAGAGCAGAGCTGCCGGAGGAAACCGCTCTTTCTTCTCGCTACTGGACTAGAAGAGGCCACCTGGGGCTTGTTCCCAGACCTCTTCGCACTCTGCGCTGCGCTGAGCTCCAGGAACCTGGCCATCACCAATCCTTCTGCAGCCCTATATAAGTTGTTAGTAACTCTTTAGGGTGACGGAAACTTTCTAAATTAAAAAGATCACAACGTACACAGGGAGAAGTGGCGCGTGGCTTCGTAGTGCAAAACCCCAAGGCTCACTTCCGCCGGTGATAACAGCCAGCACCCTCAGTGAGAACGCTACCCACTAGACTGGACATTCCGTGGTGGCCTCCTCCCCAGAACACAGAGCCCCATTGCCATCGTGCACCACACAAACCCCAGGGGGAGACATTGTGAGGAACACACTGCACTCAAACCCAAGGTCATCAAAAAGCAAGGGAAGGCCTGAGGACACAGGAAAACTAAATGGGAGGCGGGATCTTGGATGGGATCCTGGAAAAAGACATTAGCTCAAAGCCAAGGACCTCTCAAGTGTTTAGCGAGAATGCATCAATACTGCTTCACTAACTGGCAAAAGCTCCACGCTAAAGTTCAGAGAAACCTGACCTTACGGCAACTTCCTGTGTTACTTTCACAACTCTTCTGCAAGTCTGCCACTGTTCTAAAAATAGTTCCTTTTCTAAATGATGGTGCAGGTAATACACGGGTATATGAAAGTTATAAAATATCCAAAAAATTAAAGCTAAAACTCACTCGCATTCCTCTTAACCCTCTTTCAAGCACACACCGTGTGTGTGTGTGTGTGTGTGTGTGTGTGTGTGTGTGTGTGTTACACAAATATATGGCTGCAAAACAGCATCGCAGCAATTTTGCTCTTCCCTCTGGAGTTGTGCGTGCAGGGACACGTGGATCATCCCGGTTCTCCTCAAATCCAGCACGGCTCACATAATCATCCAAGGCAGCACTTACGTAGGTGTGTTACTGGAGACTGAACCCAGGGCTTCACACTGAGCAACATCCCCCTTTTTAAAAAACACAACGTCCTGCTAAATCACTAACTTGCCCAGGCTGGATCCAGTTTTCGATCCTCTTGCCTCAGCCCCTCGCTCCCCGAAACTGCTAGGGCTACCACCTAACCGAAGGACTCCTAAATTATTGCTTCTTTTTGACTGAGTGCTGGGCCTATTTGTATTTCAAGGGTATCTGATCCTGATTTGATGGAGCATGCCTCTAATTCCAGCACTCAGGAGAGGCTGGAGTTGTTCAAGGTCAGCCTGGACTAAGTCGCGAGTTCGAGTTCAAAGCCAGCCTGAACTACTTAGCGAGACCCTGTCAGAAAAACAAAACAACAGCAAAAAGAGAGAAGGCCGCAGTGCGCGGTGGGGGCTGGAGCTCAGGCTCCCAGCAGGGACGCGAGGCTGGGCGGCACCTCACTCGGGCAGCCCTGAGCTGGGCCCAGGGACCAGAATTCTGTGGCTGCTTTACGCTTGCAGGCGCGCCTCTCTTTCGGGACCGGCAGCGTTTTGGGGGCGCGAGTGCAATCGGGAGCACCTCACAGAAACGCTTCTAGGAACCGTGGACGAGCCGAGGGTCCAAGGGAACTGGAAAGACCCTTGCGGTTGTTGGTTATTACCGTTAGGGGGCGCGCGGTCGCCCGCTGCTAGGCGGGAGGACCCGGTTCTGGGTCTGAAGCCCCCGGGAGAACCGCGCGCTGCTTGGTTTCCTGGAGCCGCTGTCTCCGCTGGGCGGCGAAGGTCGCCGGGCGCGCAGCCAACTCTGCCCGCTCCCAGGTGCCCGCGCTGGCTGCCTCCCAGCGACAGCAGGGCGAGCTTCCCACGACCCAGTTTTCTTCGCGCCTAAGCGAATGACTGCACGAATGATATGTTAAAAAATAAACAGTCCGGTTAAGAGTACAGCATGCTTGCAATCCCAGCACTCTGGGGAATCGCAAATTCTTCTGGTGATTTTAATAAGATCCTGTCTAAAAAAAAAAAAAAAAAAGTACTGGAGTTAAGGCTCAGTGCAGAAGCCCTGGGCTCACTCAGTACGGCAAAACAAGCAAACAAATAAATGCAATCCTTTAGGCTGAAAGTTAATCTGTTTGTAGCAGTAACACCCTATGAGCAAAAAGGGACAAAACTTGGTGTTCCGACTGTGGGGTTCTGGTTCCAACTCTGACATTTGCAAGTGGTGCCTCTTCCTATCCTCTGCTGGTTCACCTATAAAATCCTCAAAGTGATCTATAAAATCCGTACAATAACCCTGGCTTTCTTGCTGTTCGGGGTGGATACAAACACCAAAGGAAGTCAGAGAAGGTAGAAAAGCCTTATAAAAGCAAGGTCACCTGCTATAGGGCAATGCTGATCGCACTGATTCTTTCAACAGGGAGTGAGGGGTTGAGCCAGCCATAGGAAGCCCCTGCTTGGTGCCACACACAGAGGAATAAAGGAATATCCCTGCATTCTCTGTCTCTGTCTCTCTCTCTCTCTGTGTGTGTGTGTGCGTGTGTGTGTGTGTGTGTGTGTGTGTGTGTGTGTGTGTCTCACTATGCAGTTAAGACTGGTCTTGAACTCACTTTGTAGCCCAGGCTGGCCTTGAACTGACAGTGAACCTCCTGTCTTAGCCTTCTGAGTGCTGAAATTTATCCCTGTATTCTTAACATGGCCCCTAATCACGTGGGAAAATAAATCATAAATGCCACAAGAGGCAGAGGTTTGCTGGGAGGATCCAGTGGGGTGGATGAAAGGTCAGTGGGAGATGGGAGGCTTGAATCCTTCTGATCCTTCCCATTAGGCTTGACAAGAATCTGCTTTTAAGTTCTTTTTAAATCATGCTTTGTTTTTTGTTTTTGTTTTGTTTTGTTTTTGTCTTTTTGAGACAGGGTATCTCTATGCACTTCAGGCTGGCCTTGAGTTCACTGTGGCCCAGGCTGGTAACGAACTTGTAATGATCCTCCTGCCTCAGCCTCCCAAGTGCTGGGATTACAGGTGTGCACCACCACGCCTGGTTTAAATCATGCTAATTGTTTTTGAAGTTATTACTTTAAGTTAAACATTTACCTTTGGTATTATAGTTGCCTTCTGCTTTCTTTGGAGCTGTGTGTGTGTGTGTGTGTGTGTGTGTGTGTGTGTGTGTGAGAGAGAGAGAGACAGAGAGACAGAGAGACAGAGAGAGAAAGAGGGGGAGGGGAAGGGGAGAGAGAGACAGAGACAGAGATTATGTGTGTGTGTTTTCCTTGTTTCTAAACTGAATGCTATGATCATATATCTTTGTTGGTGCTTTCTAGTAAATAGATGTAATCATAAATCTCCCTCTACATCCTGCTTTAGCTTCATTTCACAGGTTTTCATATACCAGGCTTTTGTTGTTTTTAATTTTTAAATAAATTGAGCCAGGCATGGTGTCACATGCCTGTAATCTCAGCACTTAAGAGGCTGACACAGGAGTATCCCCAAGAGTTCAAGCCCTGCCTGAACTACATACTAAGACCCTGTCTCAACAACAACAACAACAAAGTTATAAATACTTTGGGTTTTATTAAATTTTACTGGAATTCATGGGTTATTTAGAAATAGGTTTTCTGGGGGTTTGTGTTCTGTTTTCAAATTTATATTTTTATAAAGTAATCATATTGTCATTTATTTCTGACTTTAATACTCAGAGATGAAGTGTTCTTTTTAGAATTTGTTGAGAATTCCTTTGTGGCTTCATATACAGACTTGTTTTTGTGAATCCATTCTTTATAGTACAAAGTTCCGTCTCCATCCAAGCTGCTAATCAGATTATTTCAATTGTTTATCTCCTTTTATTTAGTTTCTCCAACTCAATCTATTTCTGTGAGATTAACTGTACACTTCCCACTTCTATTATAGATTGTCAATTCTGCTCTATAATCTGGTCTGATTTGGCCTTTTAATTTTGAGAGCAAACTATTAGTTTCTTAGAGTGTCTCAGTTACTCTTCTCTGACTGCTGGGACAAAATACCCAACAACCAATTTTAAAAGAGGAGAGGTTTTTTACCTCACAGTCTCCAGAGGTTTCAGTCTATAATTAGCTGGCTCCAAGACAGGGTGGCTTGGCAGAGGGACAACAGTTTATGATGGAAGACAATACCAAAAGCAGGAGCAACAAGGAAGAACAAGCCTCTTTTCCGTCCTTTTACTGTATGTAGGCTCCCTGCCCTAGAGCGAGTTATAACTCATACCCCCAGTTCCAGCAGCAGACAATGAACCAATCACAAACTCTCTGCAGCCCCTCAGAAAAGCCCACCCCCCATGACCACATGAGGCTTTGGGGGGACATCCAGACACAAACTGTAACAGATCAGGAATCATGATTATTTTACACTTGTTTCTTTAAAGGCCACATTGTGGCTGGGTGATGAGTCCATAGTGGATGATTAAATTTCCACCTTGTAAGCTACACGTGGAAACCACACACATCACTAGATAATATGACCGCTCATCCTGTGTTTAAGAATACCATTTCCCCCCAGACAATACAATATCAAAAGTCCCTTTTAAGAATAAGCATATATTTTACTCTGCCTCTTCCCTAGACCACTAACCTTAGTTAATCTACACATATTTATTCATTAATTTTACTCAGGACTGTTTCTACCAATGCCAAGGGCACAGGACCCTATTGAGC